TGAGAAAGAAATATGAAGAAAAAGAAACTGTCATAATAAATAAAAGTGAAAATATAATGAAAAAGGTTCAGAACAGTAAATTTAGTGAATGCAAAGTAAGAAATAAAAAAAACTGCGAGTAAGAAAAGGACTAAGAGAGAATTCTGAGAGAAAAAGATAAGGAGAGAGAGGTAAAGAAAATCTGAGAGGGGAAAAATGAGAGAGTGAGAGAAAGGTAGACAGAGAAAGAAAAGTGTGGTGCAAGAGGAAGTGAATGAGAAAGAAAGGCACAGAGAGAGAGAGAGAAAGAGAGAGAGAGATTTAGACATAGAGAGGAAGGCCAAGAAAAAAATATAGGGAGAAAGACAAAGTCTGTAAGAAAAGAAAATAGACTGACAAAATCAGAGAGTGAGAAAGAAAGTTTGAGAGACAAAGAGAGGAAAAAATGTTGAGAGAGAAACAGAGTAAGAAAGAAGGGTTGAGAGAGAAAGAGACAAAGAGAAAAGCTGAGATAGAGTACAAAAAGACAGATGGGATAAGAGCATGAAAGAATGAAAGAGAGAAAAAAGATAAGAGAGAGAGAGAATGACAAAGAAGTAATTCATGATAGAGAAAAAGACTGAGAAAAAAAGAGAAAAATTCTGAAAGCGAGAGAGAAAAAGAAACAGACAAAAATCTGACAGAGATGGAGAGAAGAAGAGAGAGAGAAAGAAGAAGAGAGAGAGAGAGAGAAGAAGAGAGAGAGAGAGAGAGAGCGGAAAACAGACAAAAATGAAAGAGAGAGGAAGAGAAAGAGAGTCATCATCAGTTTTATGCGTGAGGATTTGCCTGGAAGGGGCAAGCTTTTAAGGAGATAGCCATAATCTTTATTAAGCTGTAAGTTCCAATTCTTCAATTTCTTTGAGTTTACATCAAGCAAGTGGAAAGGTTTTAACCAAATCACTTGATATAGGAGCAGATCTTAAAGTTCATATGAAGACATTAAGTATGTGAGCCAGTTGGTGAAACAAGTGTTCACTTAATACACTGCTGCTCCTTGATCGTTACAGCTGGAAGCAAGGAAATAGTAAAAATGTGTGCTGGTGGCCTAGGGTGGCTGTATTGTGGACGTTAAGAAGGAACCAGCATAGCAAAATTGTTTGCTCAGTATTCAAACCATTAGGCTACAAGTCAGCTCAATGTTTTTGACTTGCAAATAAGAATAAAATGAATTTGTCACCTTTTTTATTTTTAAAAACAAAAACATAAAAACAGTTAATACACTTGTAGTAGTAGTAGTAGTAGGCAGTGTTTAATAAATAAAATAAAATAAAAATATATCTTAAAGCTCTTGAAAAGTGTCACATACTTGTCATCTTCTTAATACCGCATTAACATTAACTCCAGCATTCTTACAGACAGGCCAATCATGTAACTTTGTTTCTGAAACCATATACTTTAATGAGTAAAATAAAAGATCAAATACTCTGTATCAAAACAAAAGACAATCCTATTTGCACTCCCTGATCACTTACTAACCTCAGTATAAATTCCAGAAAAAAAGGGCTTCAAGGTCAGTTCTCTCTACTTTTTCCTGAAAGCGTGAAAGGCTGGTCCATTCCACTAACCACCAAAAAACTAAACAGGGTAACTGTCTATTACAAAGAAGTAAGAGTCTTGCTCTCTCTCGCTCTCTCTCTCTCTGGTCCAATGTACTGCATTCTATGAACACAGCTACACGAGAAATATACAATTTGTATTCATAAAAAAGAAAATAAATCTGCCATATAATGTTTGCTCAGTGTTTTTCATTTTGAATGTAAAAAACAACATTCTTCACCAACATCCACACTGGTGATCATAACATGATATGGAAATTTGATGTGATAAGAAATTATTGACCCAGAAAAATGTATTTTCAAGAGCACAACCTATCACACTGCCCTCTTGAAAATGTATTTTCTGCATCAATAAATCCTTATCACATCAGGATTTCTGCATCATATTTTGTCTTTCATTCCGATGTGAAGAAGCTGAAGCTAACAGACATTGACAAAATACATCATTTAAACACATTTCCATTTTGTCTCATCATCTCCACTTTTGTTTTGGATACTATTATACATCCTACAAACACACAATATTATATATTAGCAGCATGGCCTGGCGTTGCCTGTGATTGATTCAAAAATCGTACGACTCATACAGCAATCGCTATCACTTGACTTAAAATATTTTTGCCTTTCCTTGCCTTTAAAGGAGTGCCCTTTGCCGTGCTGATGTTGCTACATGCCTTACTTCTTGCCTATCTCACACTGCAAATTTTTTCTAAGCTCTATACTAAACATTAAATCTGTTAAAAAAGAACTAAACAAAACGAACACAAAATGATCAGCTTTAAAAAAGGACTCGTAACTGGAAAAACCAAATGAAAAAAGAATGTTAACAACAAATACTTTTTCACACCCAACCAAGAATATGGAATCAGAATCAACGTTGAGTTTAAGCAAGTTTAATGAGCCAATTGGAGTAAAGTGCCATGCAGATTTAAATTTTTCCTAACTTGTGAAGAATGCAGCTATCGATTTTTTTTTTGCATGCTAGTTAACATTTGTGTCAGTCAGCTGTTGGCTCTCACGCTGGCCAATAGAATCTTCCTGTCTATTCGTGGCAGCCAGCTATAGCCTCTCACTCTGTCCAGTAGAAAATGGCCGCAAACTACATGAAAAGTGCCGTAGAAGCATGAAAAAATCGATTATTTCCACTATCGATGGGAGTTGGAAAATGCAAAGTCAGTCTTGGCCTTCTCACTAACTTGGAGCATGTGCATGTAAATTTTGGTGCAAATCCGTCGGAAATTGTGGCCGTGCATTTGTTACACACACACACACACACACACACACACACACACATCCTGCCTTTTATAGATGTAATCTTTTCATATAATATATATATATTTTAATTTATTAATCCATTATTTATCCATTTCGATGTTTCAGTCAGACAAAATGCCCGAGATGGTGGTTAGGGGAAGATGGAAATTATTAGCCTTAAAGGGAAGACGTTTTATCAAATTAAACCCAGATACTAACCTTATGACATCAAATTGGGGTTATATGAAGAATGAGGTGCTAATTTATAACTAAAAGAGGGACAAAAAGGAAGTTTTATAAAAAAAAAAAATTATATATATAAAAGTTTAGATTCCTACTTAAAAAATAATAAATTATACTTAAAAATAAGATATATTTAAAAGATTAAAAATAAGTGATAGGTAATTTATATTAAATTTAATAAGAATATATTTTAAAAAATTCTATATTAAAGAATAAAAATATATTTAAAAATAAAAAATATAATAAGATAAAAAATTATACATTTTTAACTTTAAAGGTAAGTTAAATTGAGTTATATTTAAAAAAAAAAAAAAAACATACAAAGTTATATTTAAAAACCTTAAAAAATATATAGATAAAGAGATGTAAGTGATAAAAGGAAAGAGAGTTCTTAGAACAAAGGACAATTATAAGATATAATTAGTATGGAAAAAAAATGAAAATATAGTAATTAGAAATAGTTATACATTCGACATTTGAAGAGTTAGAGAATTAAAAAGTAATAAAGTAAATTCTATGTTACAGAAGTTTAAATTTGTTTTTATGTTGGCATTTTAAAACTAATTAATTCCTTTGATTTAATAGTTTGCTTTTATTATTGTATTTATTATTCTAATTTTCTCTTTAAAACACAAGTTACACCTAACTCTAAGACTATTAGGAGTATGAGCAAATCCTATAATTTTACAATTTATCTGTGGGTTTGGACTTTCTTCTTCAATTTCCAAAATTTCCTTGAAAGAACTTCTTCCCTTTAAGGCTAATACTTTCCACCCTCCTCTAACTACCGTCTTGTGCATTTCGTCTGACTGAAACATTGAAATGGATAAATTCTGTATCAATTTTTCAACAGCTGAAATACACTGGGGTTGAATAAGACTGACATAGTTTTTATCAGTTGAAATAGATCTATCCCTACTCCATATGAGGTAATTTTGGATTTTGTTGTGTAATACTATATATATATATATATTATTTAGCAATATATTTATTTATTTATACTATATATATATATATATTTATATTGTGTATATATATATATATATATATATATTATATATATATATATATATTATATTTATATTATATATATATATATATATATATATATATATATATATATATTTATATATATATATATATATATATATATATATATATATATATATATATATATATATATATATATATATATATATATATATATATATATATATATATATATATATATATATATATATATATATATATATATATTATATATATATATATTATTTATCAAGTGATGGTGTTGAATTTCATTTATTTAACACCATCACTTGATAAGACATTATAGAAGTGTTAAAAAATGGCTATTTTTGTAGTGATGCTATAACATGTTTGTGTTATAATTTTTGAATAAATAATATTTGCTCTAATCTGTATTGAGCACTCTTTTTAAGAAGAGTATTTTTTGGTTATTGAATTCATTTTGTCTTCACCAATCCTATACTTGGGTATCTCTCTCTCTCTCTCTCTCTATATATATATATATATATATATATATATATATATATATATATATATATATAGGTTTTTCCAGATAAATAAAATCAAATAATGATATAAAGAAAACCAGACATTCAATAGAAATAAATAACAATATTTTCAAAAAATTTGTCTGTTGTGTTTTTTTTGGGCAATTGTTTGATTGTCAGATTGTCACCATCTTAACTATAAAGGACAAAGACTCAGCATCAATAACATTTCATTAGATTTGGGAACAAACATGGGAAATAGTTTTTATAACTAAAACAAAAAAAGCAAAAAAACCCAAAAAACAACAAGACATCACAAATGGATTCATGATAATACAATACATGAAAAACCTTGTCTTGACACCCACTGATGTTTGGAGACATCTTTTAATCTAGGATATAAAATTAGTTTATTTTTTATGCCAAATTACTCATGCAGAAATTGGAACAAATATAACTACAAAATAACTAGAATATGTGATTTTTTGATAACACAGGTAAATTAGTGTGTCTGTGATACACCCAAACAGGCTTATATGTGGATTATATATATTACACACACACACACACACACACACACACACACACACACACACACACACACACACACACACACACACACACAGACATCCTGCCTTTTATATATATATATATATATATATATATATATATATATATATATATATGTATATATACCGGGTGTAACAGCAAAAATGGCCAAATCATGTAACACCACTGAATAATTGTCCATCCCACAAAATGTTCAATATCTAAAAAAACACTGAACTGAGTTTCAGATAAGACACTTAGCCATCTTGACACCATTTGTTGTAAGAATCACTCAAAAACGCTTTGATTTATTCAGCTAGAAAGACAACAGATTAAAATCATTTTGTGTCATCTCCACTATGTCTTCCCAAGTGAGCAATGGTAAAAGGAAAATGGATCATTCAGGCCTTCAATAATGGTACCAACATCCATACTCTGGCTTCCATCTCCAAAATCCATTCAAGAACCATTAAGAGAATGGTGAATAAGTTTAAAAAGAGTGAGCAGTAGAGAGAAAAACTGGATCAGGAGGTCACAACAGCAAGAGGGATCATCATTTCAAATTAGAGCTAAATACATTCTTACTGCTCAAAGTAGAGTCCAATCGTGTTATAAAAACCTTGGTGAATTCCAGTAAGATATCT